CCGGAGGCGTAAAATCTTTCAGAACTTGGGTCTGGCATTTCTGGTCGTGGTGGCAAGTGTTGCATTCAATAAATTATGATCAATAGCAAATGGTTGCATTCAGTCTCCTAAGGAGTTTAATAGTAAGAGTAGCAGTCTAGGTTTGAGAGCACTATAGTTGCGTGAGTAGATACACAAATTGAGTTTTCAATCTAGTAAATTTTCGTTTAGCAAGTTAGTCAGTCCTTGACATTTGCACAAAACTTTCAAAAGTTCATTCAGGTAGCTTTGGTAACAAAACACGAAGTTCATGTATAAAAGCAGCGGATCGGATCTTTTTCTGTTACAAGCAGACTGCATAAGAGTCTTAAGCTTGTAGATTAAAATAGTGCCAATGGCCGAGTAATAGAAAATAAGCAGTGCATACACACCTCACCCGAAGGAGAATGGAATCTGTGCTAAAAGCAGCTTAGACAGTTCCATATTACCGACCTATTGCAAGTGCAACGTTGCCGGTTCCTTAAATTAAGCTCAAGGGCACATGACATAATGAATTCAGGAAATGGAAAATAGTTCGAATGAGAAAACGGAGAAAGGAAAAGTGAGATGGGTACCAAAAGCAAAAAGGCATCTAGCAGTTGAACGGAACTAAACAAGATTAAGAAAATCTAAACGGATCCTTCACAATTCAGAGAAACGACAAATGCAAAACATGGTTGAAAATGCTATACAACAACAACAAAAGTTCAATACTACTATAAAACTACACAAAGTCAACCCATGCAATAGAAAATCAATACACAACGACTATTACAACATCACACTAGCAATCCAAAGAACTTAGAGTACAGCACTGTCTTTATCAGATAAAATGAAAGAAATATTACCGCCTCCAATTGAGGAGCAAGAGAAGAAGCAGAAGTCTTATTCCATGAAGGTGTGAGAAGCAAGTGGTCTTATGTTGGGGTCTTCATTGAGTATTTCGTAGTTGAAGACTTGGGAATAGTTCACATAGTCGCATTGGACAGCTTTAGAGAAGAATTTCTCATTTGTTCTTTTAATAAATTCTGTGATGGTTTCGAGCTTAAGAATGAAGTTCATTTCGGATGAGAAAGTCGGCATCAGTGATAATACGAAGAAATTTATTCTGCACTATTTGGAATTGATGTAATTGATTACGAGAGGCAATATTCCATGCTGGAGATGCATAACAAAGAATAGGTCGGATACAAGTAGTATTAATATGTCTCTTGGTTCTTAGGCTAAGGTTAGAAAATTTTCCAATTACTGGAAGAAATCTGCACATAATTGAAATTGCTTTATTTTTAACATTCTTAATATGGTTGGTCCAAGTGAGATTATAATTCAGAATCACTCCTAGGTATTTGGCTTTTGTAACTAAGGGAACAGGCTCTTGAAAAAGGGAACGTTCTTTAAACTTAATGCGTTTTTTTGTTTTTGCGAAGCATTAAAATCAGAGGCTTACTGGCATTAATTTTAACTCTCCAATTGGTCTTCTACAGTGTAAAGAAAATCTTCCATTTTATCAATTGCATGATTAGCGTTGATAGACTTGAATGCTATCGCCGTATCATCGGCGTAGCATGCAAGAAGAGAGTAGCTGTCAAGTCCAGGATGAGGAAAGTCTGAGATATAAAACAGGTAAAGAACCGGTCCGAGGATGCTTCCTTGTGGAACACTAGATCTTATAGGTCTCGCTAAAAGCAGCGGGCGCAACAGTCGAATATATACCGTACGGGAATAAAACGAACGAGAAGGTTGCTCCGCCTATCGGCAAAAATAGTAAATTTAAAAATTAAGTTAATTTTAAAAGGTTTAGGAAGGACTGGATTGGACTTAAAGTCATTAATTAAACGAGGTAAATATTTGTGAATGTGAGAAGTTTCAAGGAAATCCAATTCAACAATTGAAAAATCTTTCTGAATAATTTTTAGATTTCTGAATAATTTTTAAATAAATATTTGTGAATGTGAGAAGTTTCAAGGAAACCCAATTCAATAATTTTTAAATTTCTGAATAATTTTTAAATAAATATTTGTGAATGTGAGAAGTTTCAAGGAAATCCAATTCAACAATTGAAAAATCTTTCTGAATAATTTTTGCAGACTCAAAGTCAAAAGTATGATATTAACTGTCAAAGACTTGTTTAATTTCGCATTTCCGGACATAAGACTCGTGTTCCTTTATACGAAATTTTAACGCTGTTTTAGTTTGGCCGATATATCTCGAACTATACTGACACGATATGCTATAAGCAATCTTTAAGAATCGAACCATGGATTTTATTGATAGGCGAGAGGTCAGTTTCTCATCAGTTTTTCAAGTCATTTTTCTCGCCTATTCGACTATCGACCTTCAGTCGGCTCCTTGATCAACACTGATCTTCTTTAAAATTTCATGGAACCCCAGAAAGTTGTCAATACTGACTTATTTTAACAGTTGGTCTGAATCTCCGTAGTTTTCTCCAAATGATTTCCGTGCAATTTTTATACATTTATCTTCATCTAAACTATTAAAATAAGTGGTTATGGGAACCTAGTTCCTTAAAGATCTTTCAAGATTATGCGATAAACTTATCTACCTGAATCGAATGTGCCTCAAAATTTCCAATATCTAAGCATTGTATACCAACAAAATTACAGAGCTCTTGTTAGATCTACAGTCCTACTGGCACATTTTTTGAAGTGAGAAAATACTTTTAATATTAAATTCTTTACATCTCTTCTCAGGCTTGGTGTTGCATATTTGGTTGCATTATGAAGAATATGAACCAAACAATTAATAGAAAGGAGTTTTTCATTAGGTTTAGGTTTATGCTTAAAAAAAAACAGTATTATGCTTACTAAAATTAAGGTTGCTGTGAAAACTGATAACTTTTATGATTTAGATTTAGTAATAATAATTCTCTTTAAATTTTTAGTAACAGCATTTGCTATTTTCTGATTGTCCTCATAAAATTCTAAAAGTTACTTCGCTGTTTGATGCTCAGTATGTAAGTGCCTGAAAACAAACGGAAATCATTCTTATGGCTATCCGTTTTGGATGTGTCAATAGCTACAGAAAAATAAACATTATTATCTTTAATGTGTTGTACATCGACCTTATTTGAATGAGATGCAGAAACATAAACAAAACTCCCCCTTTATATTCTCACGCCTAACCTTGCTTGCAATTTAAGAATTTGTATAAAAAGTTTTATCTACTTGAAATGAATATTTATAACTGTTGTGTCTTATGAAATGAAATATTTTGCAAGCTCTGCCGTCGTAAATTTTCCCCTTTCAATGATTCTATGGAACATATTCTAGGGATGTATTTTCTCAAATTCTTCAAAACAGATGCACTTTTAAAATTTTGATTTGCGTTTCACCCTTCGGGATACGTTTGACGAAGCCCTTTTACTTTTATTAGAAAGCTAGATACCACAGCATCATAATACACAGTATGCAAAATGATTTCTTTTTGCACTTTTACGAATACGAGTGAATTATTTCTCATCTGTTCTGAATGTTTAGAATGTCTTTTAAAAATTATTTAAGATTATATACTGCATTTATGGATTTTGTGCTAATAAATCTAAACGCTATAAAATGCTAAATATGAGTTATAAACGGAACCATTTACAAACGACAATCACAGCCTTTTTCATTAATAAACTTATTTAAAATTTTAAAATATACGACGCGATATGACGTGCATCACATACACGACACGATATGACGTTAATGACGTATATCACAAATCAGTAGTCAAACATAAATAATGCATTTTTTTTCCCATCTGATTGGCTGACTATTTTTTGCATCTGAGCAACACATTTTTATCGAATTTGCCCTAGCACTGATTTCTTGCATTCAAGTTTTTAATAAACTGAATTACTTTTAATTCATGAAAAGAGAACAAAATACACTCGGCTTATCTGTAAAGGAGGACGTCAATTTTTGCTCCTTTAAGACCAAATGGTGCAGCCAAAGGCCGAATGTCTTGGCAGCCTAGTGATAATATCGAGAAAGCGATGTAAATTGACAGCAAAAATGGAGTTACATCACAATAACGTCGACGTCTGTGCGCACGCCGCTGGTTGCGTTCAGGAGCATCTAAAAAATTAAATGTTAAAACCACTCAACAAGAGGCTGATCATCCTTACCTTGCTACTTGGGAATTTCTAAATTATTTTTTGAAAAATAGAGTGAATGTGACTGCTGCATATCATATGAGAAAAGGTGCTTTGGAAAAAGAATTACATATTTTTACTATGCTTACATTTCTTACTCTTTTATGATTTTATTCATGTTTATAGAACACTCTATGTAGTGTAAAATGCAGTAAACTACAAGAAAAGAAATTTTCTTACTAACCTGTCTGCCTCATCATGTTTTTACCTTAGTCTACAGAAAATAGTTTTCCTGTTTGTAATAAAATGCAATGCTTTCTATAAAATTTTACAGTTTTAACAATTTTTTTCATATAAATTATGTTTAGCTTCTTTTTACACTTCTTTAATGATTTTTAGTATATTTGAGAAAATAATCTTAATTTGGTTCGAAATTTTCATTATAAATGAAATCAATTGTAATAAAATCACAATACAGATGTTAATCGAGAAAGAAATTAGTTATATAATCAAAAAACTTATAATGAAATAAAAAATTATTTCTTTGAGATTTTTAACAATTTTTTAATTATAAAGAAATCTGCATTTCCAATGCAGATTAATGCAACCAATAAACAATCCTTCATTTTCGCACAGATACAGCTAAGAAAAATGTATTCAAATTAGTAAACAAAGGAACCTTTTTTAAAACATAGCTGACCTTTGGAGAAAAATATAGCCTTATCTGCCGGATGTGCTTTTCAGTTCATTCATTCTCAAATGGGCACATATGGAAACACTGAATCGGAAAAGGAAAAAAAGGGTCTGTCCACAGCCTTCAATTGCGACAGACACTTAACCTCTGGGATGCTCTCTTTCCCACGAAAAGGGGCGTCCGATAACCGGTGAAGTCAAGGTCCTCGCTCGCTCTTCGCCATAAAAGCAAGCTTGAGATCCCATAAAAAGCAAGCAAGACATCACTTCATTAGATAGTTTTCACAGTGACCTGCCACCAAGAGTTGCAATCTGCTTTATCCTATCTCTTAGGATTATTTCCACATTTCAGTCATGTTCTCCGTGCCCAAAAATGCCTGTTGCTTATTGGTGCTATGCTGTCTGATTGCGGTAAGTACGATATTTGAAATTCATTTCCAGAATGTCTACAAATGGGTTCACATAAAATATGTTCTCTTGCTACAACAAGGTCTTCAAATTTAATTTATCGAGGCATTCAGTCAATCGCAATAGAGATATCGTAGAACCCACCAAATATGTTTCTGTAAATAAAGAACAGTTTTAAAGAATTTTAAACCTTAATAATTTATTCAGAACGTTCATTATTACATGAAATAAACACAATAAAAGTCGGGATGATATTACAATCAACTAAAGCAGTTTTTCTAAGATTTTAGTACCATTTTTTCACTGATTGAGTGGAATTTTTATATCAGGGTAGGCATTTTATTAACTTCTTTACTTAAAAAAAAACGGTATTATCTGTTATCGGGATCAGATTCAGAAGCTTATGTATGGATGTATGTGTTCATTTGTGCAAGTATATATGTATACGTACGTATGTATATGTGTTTACATACAGAAATGCATACATACATACATTTCTTAATCCGGTTCCGACAGCAGAAGAGTGCCAAAAATACTTACAACTAACAATTCGAAGGATTTGCCAGTATTGGTTTTAAAAAATCAAAAAAATGTAAAATGATCTAAACTATTAAACAAATTAAATGTTTCTCTTCTGTCCTGCTCTTGAATAAAAATATTATCTGCTGTAGCTGACAAATAAAACTAAATCTTTACTGTTAATTAAAATTAAAAACTAAAATGAATTTTACTTTTAAAAAGTCCGGAGTTTGTTTCGGCATTTATAATTTGAAAATAAAATGATTTAAAGAGTAATTAAAGTTTTTAAATACATCAGAACGTTAAAAAGTACATCAAGGTTTGAAAAAAAGTTAAAAAAGAGTTATTTTTATAAGCTTGGCGATTAATATGTTATTACTAAATTTCACCATAACCATTTAAATTCTGTCTTCGATGCAGATGACTATATACACCAAAAGTGAAACTAAACATTTTGCATTCCATCTTTTACAGGTCGTTAGTACAACATAACACTTGTTGCAAAATGCTCTTAAAAGTTACCGATAAAGTGACCTTTTTTATGATTAACTTATGGTGTATTAAGCAATGTAAGTTTATAATGCCAGAAATAAATGAAAGGATTTCGTGTATCATTGTCCAGAGATAATGTCTATTTACGAATATAACGGACAATATTTGATAACAAATTGAAAATAACTCTTCTCTTAAACTTTAAGGAAATCGTTTGCTGCTAAATCTTTGCTGCAGAAAGACAAAAGGCAAGAGACGTTTTTAGATACATGATGTAACTGATTACCACGAGCATTTTTAAACAATTTTCATTAACTCTTACGTCCGGATTTCAAAATTTTAAGTTTTATTACGAGCTTATAAATTACCTTCTTACGAAAAGTGATTTCGTGTTAGAAAACGGAATTTTCTTCTGTCACCAAGTTCTTCATCGAGAATGAAAGAAATGCAAAATTATCATTTACTTCGGAGACACCTGGTCATGTGAACAGGTAATATCTGAAATATCACAGATGTTTTACAAAAACAACTTAGAAATGAATCTCCATCTTCACTAACTTCGAGATGAAATCGTTTACTTCCGGGTGTGTATTTATCTTGAGGAGATTTTGCATCATTCCTCAATGATTTTCATTCTTTACTTATTTTTATTACTTATTCTTTACTTATGTTAGATTTAAAACCAAAAATAAAATATTTTTACTAGAGGTCATCCTCACAGCGACAAAATTTCGCAGCATTAAAACATCTTCGTACGAACCACCGAGGTAAGAAACATGAAGCACTTTCCAAAACATCGAATGACAATAACATCAAGAGTACCCGTTCTCACACTTTCAAAGTTTCACATATATGTGATAATGAAATGCGAGAGAAATGAAAAGCATTTTTACTGACATTGTTTCAAATCTTGAAAATAATTATTAATTAATTTAATAATTAATTTAAAGATTTGAAATAATTCTGCTTTTGAATTTTGAAATTTTGAATGCTGAAGTTGATAATTATAAACCAAGAAGAAAACTTCAGCATTCAAAATAAGAAAATTATTAAAAGTTACAGTTACGTATATCAGTTAATAGAATTTTAAACTTATGTAGTTGGATAATAACATCTTTTTTTGTAATATCGTATGACTTGTTTTTCATAAAAAGTACAATATATAAAAGGATTAGAAGAAAGGAAAATTACTTATATTAAAACTGTTTAATTGATTGCCCAGTTAAGACTACGTTTTCTTTTGTTCAGTTTATTCATTTTCTTAACGTGAGACTTTCATTAGCTTATTGTACAGTTGTTGATTCGCTGTTAGGGCAAGAACATGTGACAATTTGAGGTACATTAAGGAAAATGGATTCGTGTTGACATTATCCAATGAGAAAGTTGAAATTTACAATTCTATCTAGAAATTTAAATGTAAAATTTACAAGAAAACTACTACTTTAAAAATCCAATAATGGGATTTCAATCTTTTTCAAAGCTTTTAATCATAAAAAAGTATTTAAAATAATTTTAATCTCTTTAAGTATGTGGAGACATTAGGTTATTTGGAAGCGGGAGAAATGAAAAATGAGCAATGCTTTCGCCGGGATTCGAACCTCTCGAACACGCGCCGAGTGTGCTGGCCATTACACCACGAAGGCATGCTAATAAGGCGGGATAAATACCTTATATTCTCCCCCTTTTAAAGGGCGATGGGGATTAGGGGACCCGATCGCCAAATTCTAGTGGTGAAGAATCATCATCCAACACCTTTTGTTAGTTCGGGCACCACTATAGAGACATCAGGTTATTTTGCAGCAGGAGACATGGAAAATGAGCAACACCCTCGCCGGGACTCGAACCTCGGACCTCTAGAAAACGCGCGGAGTGTGCTGGCCATTACACCACGAAGGCATGCTAATAAGGTGGGAGAAATGCCTTATAAGTATACTTCTGCAAGAAAAATTGCAAAACAACTGTTCTTGGTATTTTAGCACGATTAACTAAATTATGTCAATTTTATAAAAAGAAAAGTCTACTTTCTGCTGAATTGAAAATGTCTTTTTTGGACCTTCTTGTTTCCCGTGGTTTAATAACTAACTTCTTTGAGGCGTCAGCTCTCCACAGATGTTAATTGTTAGGTAATTTAGTCGTTTGGTTAAATTATAATTTGTTTTGTAAAACTGCCCTTTTATTTGCATCACATTACATATAGGGCAACATTTTGTCTTTCCATTTTCTTATTGTTTGGTGACGTTAGGCTACCGGTAGGTGGTGTCTCACAGGTTGTAGAATAATTAGGATTTCTGAGGTGGGAAACACGAAAAGCGAGCAATGCCTTCGCCAGGACTCGAACCTGGACCTCTCGAATACTAGACGGGTGTGCTAATCGTTACACCACCAAGGCATGCTGGAAGGAGGGGAAAAACCTAAATACCTTATCCCTTTTTAGCCGGTCTAGAAAAGCCATAAGGCGAGCTTGGGCTTGCCAGGACGGGGGACCGCGCCATACCCGCATACCTTATCCCTTTTAAAGGGCAACTGGGGTGAGGGGACCCAATCGCTAAATCCTGGTGGTGAAAAATCACCATCCACCAAAGTTTAGTTCGGACGCCAATGTGGATACAGAAGGTTATTACAAAGCAGGAGTAGATGAAAAAGTGTCAATGCCCTCGCCGAGACTCGAACCTGCTCTCTCGAATACGGGCCGAGTGTGCTAATCGTTACACCACGAAGGCCTGCCGGAAGGAAGGAGAAAATTCCTAAGATGTAAACCTCAAACTTTTCGAATTTATATACGTTTTATGAAATTTAAAGATTTCACATACGATTTCTGAACTTTCTATTTTTGCAGAACTCTTGAAATAATAATCGTATCTTAAAGAAAATTTTACATAAATATAACATATGATGAGTCATTCATTTATGCATGTTTAGCCCGTCTATCCCTACTTCCAGTGAAATCAGCATTCCGATTCGTCTCAAATGAAAAACGCTGCTCTGCACAGAAATCTGTTTTATTATTTAACCTGAAACTATTAATGCGTCGTTAATTTTGTAGCACTAGTAATGTAGTGTTTAAATCCGTTACATACTGGAAGTTCGATCCAGATTCTATCTTAGGCACGTGAACTGGCTGCGTAATTTACTGTCATAGTTTTCTCCATCTGTAAAGAGAATAAGAGCCAATTTCCCTTAAAACGGCCTCCAGAAGGGCATGCCTGCCTATAGCCAGATAGCCCTCAAATTGACTTGCCTTGATCAGTCAGTGAATCAATCAAATTATCCTGTTAGGTAGATAGTCGTCGTGTCCTTTGCCGTATTCAAGTAACGCAATGAAAATTGCTCCTTTCGTTCAGCCCATTTGTGGCTGAACAGCTGAAACCGTAAAATACATAGTAGTTCTTCCCGAGTACAGTTCTCGATGCATGAACTGGCTGTCTGTATGTTGTTTTTCATACATTATGGGATACTATTGACTGCTTTGTGATATTCAAGGAATCTGTGATGGAAAGGGAAAATAACCAAGTTAAAAAGGAGAGAAGGGTCTATTGCAAATTAAGATTACAATTTTGATTTACATATTTTTATTTTGCATGTATGCCAATACATGCAGTGCTTAAGTTTTGTCATTATATTTCTCTTCTCTGTCGTTGAAATTTCATTTAAAAAAATTAGCTATTGAAAAATAGTATGTTTGTTAATAACTGAATCATATTATAATTTCCTTAAATATTTATAAAAATAATGAATTTCATGAGACTCATCTCTGATGCCACCTTATCTGCAGAATAATAATTTGCTTATAAAACGCATATACTAAATAAAATTCCGACATTTTTGAAAAAAAATTTGAAGATGGGAAAAAAAGCAAAAGGAAATATCTAACTTATCCATAAATGGAAATCTTAAAAGTACCCACTTACAACTATAATTTTTAATACCTTCTTTTCCAATCAAATTATTAGAAGAAAACAAAGCTTATGTAAATATTTTATTGTTTCCACGTA